GAGATTGAACTTTCGAGATATTTCGGTCGCAATTTAGATGCTTGTGCTGAAACAATGTCTGAGAGAAAGATCAGTGATATTGAGGCTCCTAGAACCTGATTACTTCTTTTAGGATAGGTTGAGACAACTAAAACTTCAAGAGGGTACTTACCTATAAACTCCATGCAAGCTTAAACCTAAGGCCTTGTGTGTCTTGTTTGTGTTTAATTAAATTGTTCGAACATGACATCATAACATCATGACATCATACCATACCATTTTCATTAACTATTTCAAGGACATATGGATTTATCTTTGTTCTGTTTTGTAGGTTATGGCCTCCACTCGCAGAAACACTATTCGAATGAGTTTTTTAAGAGTACCTTCTTAACTTAAAGAGTTAGTCTCAAGAGTTCCTGAAAGCTCTCCATTCATCAAAAGGAATTGTCGACTACTCATTTTGGTTACCTTGGGTTTTGAAGAAGACTTGATGAGTGTTCTATTCCAGTTATTTGACCCTGTATATCACTGTTTCACTTTTCCCGATTATCAATTGGTACCCACAATGGAGGAGTTTTCTTAATTAATGGGAGTACTTGTTCTTAATCAAATACCTTTCACCGATTTAGAGGAAGATCCATAACCTGGAGAAATTGTAATAACCTTACATCTAAAGTGGCCCAACATTGTAGCTAATTGGGAAACAAGGAGTAGAGTCAAGGGTTTTCTAGCTAAATTTTTGTTGGAGAAGGATCGACTGTTTTTGGACGCTATGAGTTTTCAAGCTTTTGAAGAAATCTTGGCTTTATTGATCTATGGGTTGGGGCTATTCCCTAATCCAGACCAACTCATAAATGTAAACGCCATCAAAAAATTTCTTGCTCATAACCCTTTTCCTACTTTTATCTAAGATATTTTGCATTCTCTTCACACTCGTACTCTGAGGAAGCGAGGGACTCTTATATATTGCATACCTTTGCTGTCTAGGTGGTTTATTTCACACCTTCCTCGATCAATATTGAAGAATGAATGAGGTTTAAGGTGGTATCAAAGGATGATGTCGCTCTCTCATTCGGATATCTATTGGTGTTCCAGGTCTCTGGAAGATGGTGCTATCATTGACCGTTGCAGGGAATTATCTAATGTTCCACTCCTTGGCATTAGGGGAGGTATTACTTACAACCCCTCTCTAGCTCTACGACAATTTAGTTATGCTCGAAGAGATGGTCCCCGTGACATACTTATCTAGGGTATCATGTTCGACTACGAGAATGATTTTTAAGGTTATCGTTAAAGGTTTATACGAGCTTAGGGCTTGGTAAACAAGATTGATAGCAAGACTTTAGGACATAAGAATTCTATCCCTTTGGAGCCATATCTCAAGTGGGTACGATCTCGTGCTCAAAACCTTATGATGCCATATCCCGCCGTCTTACTGGTAACTATGGAGCCTATTGCTGAGGGGGACATTCCTTATACCATTCTCCATCCAAACATACCCACTGACCTCGAAGAATTGCAGAAGTCCTGGATTCAACTTAAGAAAGAACGTGACACCTTTGAAGCTCAATTCTATGCAAGCGAGAAGAAAGTGTTGGAGCTCACAAAGCAACTTCATGAGGAGCAAAGCCTTAATGTATACATCGACATGAAGAGGAAGCATTCGTGGGAGACTTGAGTCTTAGGTTTTAGGAGTTCATTTTGTTTTATCTTTGAGACCTTTTTGATTTTTCATTGTAAGCCCAAGAGGCAATTGTAATTTTGGACTTATTTATGAAATTTTTGTTTTTGTTTCCTTTTGGCTAGGAAATTTAAATCTCTTAAGGTCCTTGAAAATATTGCATCCATATATCATGCATCGTCTCATAAGCAGGTTTTCCAATACAGGTTTCCTCATCTATTTACTGTTTATTTCAGTATAATATGACTCTCGAACAAACTGTCAAGGATCTCCAAACTCAGCATGCACAATTTCAAGATACTCTTCTGAATCTGGCTAAAGGAAAACAAGAGATGATGACACTCCTCACCATGAAAAAGAAGACTAAGAAGTGGGTTGTTATCCTCAACATGGGAAGAATATTCAAAGGTCTTGCTCAACCAGTTCAAGATGTTTCCTCTGAGGAAGACGACAACTAAGAGGATGATGATAGAAGTGTCAAGGGTGAAGGTAAAAACAATCAAGGTTCCGAGGATGAAGACTAATCCGACGAACAGTACCATCATGCAGATGACAAGTACAAACAATTGGAAGACCGACTCAAAGCTGTGGAAATCCAGAAAGTGCCTGGATTAGATTTTGGAGAACTAGGTTTAATCCCAGGGGTGGTCATCCCTCACAAATTCAAGGTCCCTATCTTTGCTAAATACGACGAGGTCTCTTGCCCTAAACTCCATTTAAGGTCGTATGTTCAAAAAATCCAACCTCGTACTACTGATAGGAAATTATGGGTCCATTTTTTTCAAGAAAGTTTGTCCGGTACTTAACTTGAGTGGTTCTATCAGCTGGAAGGAACCAACATTCACACATGGGAAGACTTGGTTGCTACTTTCTACAAGCAATATCAATATAATTCAGACCTTGCACCAACTCATGTACAATTAAAAAACATGTCTGTGGGCTCAAATGAATGGTTCAAGGAGTATGCACAAAAATGGAGAGACTTAGCTGGAAGTGTGCAACCTCCTTTTACTGGTCAAGAATTGATGGATATGTTCATGGGCACTCTGACGGGTCCATTCTTTAATTTTCTAATTGGGAGTTCTTCATCAGGGTTTACTGAGTTGATTTTGACTGGATAACAAGTTAAAAGTGGTATTAAGAGCATAAAGATTCCAATGGCTACATCTTCTAATGTCGTGAATAATCCCTTCACTGGTAAAAAAGAAACTAATGTTGTCTATGGCCAGAAAAGTCGTAGTAAGAATGATCACCATCAGTCTATGGGGGCGGTATTAATCTCTAATCCATCACTTGTTCAACAATAACAACAACAACAATAAGGTAACCGATGTAGTTCAGACGCTCCGAGGAGGCAATTCACCAAAATTAATATGTCATTGGCTTAATTATTGCAACATTTGTTAAATGCTGACCTCATAACACTCAGAGATCCTACTTCTAATCCCAACACATCCTCTCTGAAGTACAATTCAAATGAAAAATGTGCCTATCATTTGAACAGTCCCGAGCACGACACCAACAATGGTTAGGCCATGAAAAACAAAATCCAAGACATGATTGATAACAAGGAAATTGAGTTCGACCCTCCTGAGACTCCAAACATGATTACTGCTCCTATACCGAAGCATGACAAAGGCATAAGTGCTATTGAAGATGTTTTGTATGTTACCTTTGTAAATGATATGGTTACTCCTCCCTCAACAGTCAAGAAGAATTTACTACAAGTCGGCTTATTTTCGGGTTGTGTTGAAGAATGTTATTGCTGTGCGGTTCAACCCAATGGATGCGGGTTACTGAAGGAAGGCATTCAACGCCTGATGGATGAACATGTTATTTTGATTGAAAAAGTCCAGTCTATTAAAAATTTATGCCGAGATTTGTCTGTCATATCTGGTACTCCTTTCAAGATCACCTCCAAGGGTCCTGTAAGGATTACTTCCAATCCAAATTTTGCTCCCTTAATCATTACAAAACTTGGGCCCATCCCATATTCCTCAGAATTCCATGGAACTATGGGTATGACGTCTATTACCATGGTATTAAACAAGAGTTGTCTAACGAAGATGATGAAGATGTTGATCCCAATGTTGTCAATATTACAGGGACCAGTAAAATAACAAGAAGCAGAAGGATCATCTCCATATAAATCTCACAACCTGTTCAAGTCACAATTACCAAGACGACTGCCGAAGCTCGAGGTAAAGAGCCAATGATATAGCATACCCAAATGGAGGCACCAAAAGAAGCTACAATCAAGGATACCTCTAGATAAGAAATGGAAAAGGTTTTGAAGATCATTCATAGAAGTAATTACAAAAATTTTGAACAGTTGGGGAAAACCCCGTCCAAGATCTCTATGTTATCCCTGCTACTGTGTTCTGAAGCTCAGGCACAAGCTTTAATGAAATTTTTTGAAGACTGCTCATGTACCACAAGAGATTTCTACCGATCAATTTGGAAGTTATATTGCTAGCCTAACGACTTGACAATGGATTAGGTTTATCTAATTGGAAGTTATCATAGTTTAAATTTTGTTCTAATTGTAGGAGATAAGCATCCAAAAACCATACTCAAAAGAAGATATTGATGACATCCGATCACGTTGGGCCAATGTCTTCTTATCTCATTATGAAGCTCGACAACCACAACAATAGTTTTTCTTGGTTGCTATAATCTTATTTTGTATATGAATAGAAGTTTTGTCATTTTGATGTGCATATATGATCATGTCAAACGAGTGTACTCTCTCTTGATGATAACAATGTAAATTTGCACATTTGGTTTAAAATGATATGATATATTCTAATTCTGTTACATATTTTGTAGTTTTTGTGTAAAAAATGATACTGGCAGGTTAATAGATTTATTATAATGATACGATACAAGCAGGTGAAAATGATACAGGCAAAAAATGATACAGGCTAGTGAAATTGATAAATATAGCCAAAAAACTTCATTTTAAACCCCTATCAATTATTACATAAAACCGAGGTAAATGAATACCTTATTACCTCATATTATAAATAAAATTGACAGTTATATGACGCGCGCAACAAAATGTAGAAAATAAAAATATGGAGTTCCAATGGATCGAATCCATGACCTTTTCAATTATAACCTCGGTGTTTAAAATAGCGAGGTGTTAATTTGAGACTTTTCATGACGATCTTATTTAGTTCGCCTGGATAGTCGATGTAAAACGCATTTTGCATCCGATGTTACAAGCGTTATTTGTAGTAGTGAAATATGTTTTAAGTGTATATTGACAGTTTGAAAATTTTTAAGGACATATATTTTTCAGTCACACCTCTGACTGATACTTTTCATGAGAGTATTTATGAGATTCAACTTGGTGTTTCCTCAAGGTGTACCGACAAGTTCTCTAAGTTATAGTGCCAAAACTATTTTATAGTCGGAACAATAATGTACATATTTACACCGAATAATCTATCTTAAGAGGATTTGAAGAATAAGATGACGACACCTAAATGATTATTAAATAAAAACAAAATCAATAATATAAATAATTAAATAATTAGTTTATAAATAAATGATTTATAGACTAATTATAAAATTGGAAAAATATAAAAATTCCGCGGGAGTAGCAAATTGATAGAGCTCTCACTCGCTATTCTTTTGTTCCCACCGCCAACAAACCCTTTTTCGTATAGTTTCTCAAAATCAAAAGCATTCCTTTTTGTGGTGAAAGTTTCATCTAAAGAAGAAGCTTCAAGGAATCAGGTTTACGCTCTTGTTTTTATTCTTCTTCATCATCATCTTCAACTTACTTATTTGAATTGAAGACTTAGGGTTTGTTTGTTTGGATTGTGTTATTTAAGCTTATCTATTTGAATTTGAGATATGACTGAAACAAAATGTTCAACATCTGCAGTGCTGTGCTGTTTTTGGGACCGAAATTCGGCCAACTGCGGAATGTGGAAGAACAATGTACATAATTCGCCAAAGAATAGACCTGTTACTCATGAGAATGCAGAAAAAACATGGTTAGTTTATTTTGTCTGGTGTAGTCAGTAACAAACTCAGGGAATATTGAACCAAGAGTTTTCCTTATTACGGTTTTTAACACTTTTCCTTCAACAACATATTTTCAATGATTAGTGTTATAACATGTCAATAGTTGCGGGGGAGTGACTAGTACAAAGTAAGCCTTTACAACCACATCTTTTCAATCATCAGTTTTATAACATGTTCCAGCCTAATAGCATATATACTATACAAATTTATATCCATTAAGTCCCACATTGGCTAGAACATCACACAAACATGTGTTTATAAATGTTTGACATGCTAGTTAGTTTGCCGAGCTGAGTAGCGCCGGCTTGTGACCCATGTGGGGGCATCAAGGTGTTGGAACATGGCTAAGGCTTAACAGGTTTGTCTGGTTGTTGCACCATGCTGGCCTGCCCGCTCCAAGTTGCGAGTTGACCCACGGGACTTGTGCGAAGGCACGGGTCTTGTGAGTCTTAGACAGGAGGGTATTGCGTGAGGCTGGTTTCACAGAGCAGCGATCACTTCCTACTCCTGACAGTGGGGGGGGATCACGGGCCGTTGCACCTCCGGCCCACAACCTGGTGAGCCTAGCCCATGAACCATCTCTTTTTTTGGTTCATATATTAATGAATGCTGTTTATGTTTAAACACAGAATTAGCCAGCAGCGATCACTTCCTACTCCTGACAGTGGGGGGATCACGGGCCGTTGCACCTCCGGCCCACAACACCTGGTGAGCCTAGCCCATGAACCATCTCTTTTTTTGGTTCATATATTAATGAATGCTGTTATGTTTAAACACAGAATTAGCCATCTCTTTTTTTGGTTCATATTAATGAATGCTGTTATGCAACTTTCATTGGATCCTTCCGAAGTAGGCGAAGGTCGAGGTGCTGACCTGAACGCTTTGGCTCTTTTTGGTAAGTCTTCTCGGAGTAAGAACCTTTCTTTTTGAGCCGGCGCGGAGACCTATGGTCTCCATTCCGCCTTATCTTTGCTCTCTGTCGGTGTGAAGTTGCTAGCATAATATGGTAAGCAGCGGGCTTTCTATCCTCAGAGGTTCCGGTCACGCTAGTCTAGAACACCTTCCGACCGTTTAACACAGAATTAGCCATCTCTTTTTTTGGTTCATATTAATGCTGTTATGTTTAACACAGAATTAGAACTGATAACCTGGTGAGCCTAGCCCCTGAACCATCTCTTTTTTTGGTTCATATTAATGCTGTTATGTTTAACACAGAATTAGAACTGATCCTGACCTTGCAAATGCATGGGCATCCCCAGAATTCGACCCGTTATTGAAAAGATTCCATGAATCATTTATCAATTCCATCAAATCAATTTTTGGAATATTTATTAAGAAATAACCCCTTTGCGTCGACACAAGAAAACAACCGGTTTAACATAACAGGAATTGATTGAGCAATATGATTCCATCACATTTGATTTCGCCGTGTATATTTTGTAGTTAATTATAGGTCTCAATTTTTTTGTTGCCACCTTCGCAGTATCTTGTTTTATGTACTAGTATGATACATAAGAAACTTTATGATCAATAAAATTGTCCATTTCTATTAATACTATTAGTGGCACCAATCACAACTCAATAGTTTTTGCTTACCTCTATTTTATTATATGTTGTTTCTTTGGTTCACTCTGACCCCAAGACATGAATGGGAGACTTGAAATTCAAGCCTCTTTTATATGGTCCGTCCAATTTGCCTCCTGTAGTTTGAATAAAAATATATGTGCATGGTAATGTTACTTGGACATGGTTTGAGCATGTTATATTGTTTTCCTTGTATTATTTTTTGTTTATGTGATGCTTATTTATGTAATGCCACGGGGACTGTAATTTCCCATTCTCTCTTTGAGCTTTTAAGATTATGGAGTTTGATGTTGCATTAATATTTTTGAGAAGAATAACCTTTGAACACATATGACTTTAGTACTTTGAGATTAGTGATATAATATCATGCTCAAATAATGCATTACAAGCTTTTCAAATAATCCATTTAGCTAATTATAATAATGCATTAGAAGCCTTTCAAATGATCTATTTAGTTACTTACTTATATGACTTTTCACCTATAGTCATGACTAATGGCTAATAATCACATTCAATATAGTGATGGTTAATGTTAATCTCAACTTTTTTAATATGACTTTGATACACTTTGAGATCAGTGATATCATTTCATGCTCACCAGGTTATCAGTTCTAATTAGAGGCCTAATTTAGTGAATATTGTATGACCAAGTTATTGTACATTACATGTGGTGTCATTTTATATATATGAACTTCAAAATTCTTTTTTAAAACGTAAAACAGTGTACTTTATGTTTGATCCATAATGTTTGAGACAGGACTGAATCAAAATGTTTAACATCCACAGTGCTGTTTTTGGTTGAAACAAAGGTTCATGTGTTGAGAAAATTCCAAAAAGTTCAATAAATTCTGATTTGAAGATTTGTGATAAAGATCATGGTCATAGAAGAGTTCTCTTTGGTTATAAATATGTAATGCTCTTGGTCATTATTGTTATCTTCATCACCGCGGTTTTGATGTGTAGAAGCTTCAGGATTCAAAGGGCAAACAAGTTACAAAAATGTCAAAAGGAAGCAAGTAAAAAAATGGAAACTAGCATCTTTTCACAAGTGGATATTGATGCTGATGAAATAAGTCATTTGGACGAAGATAATTTAATCGGCCATGGTGGTAACGGAAAGGTTTATCGAATCACGCTGAAGAAAAACAGGATGGTAGTGGTTGTGAAGCAATTAGAGAAAGGTGATGGTTGAGGATTTCAGCTGCTTGATGAAGATTATGTGACAAAAATTGCTGATTTTGGTGTTGCTGAAATATCTCAGACGGGTTTTAGCTTTTTTGCTGGTACACATGGTTATATTTCTCGAGGTATGAAATTGTAATATAGGTTAGGACTAAAGAATTAATGGCATCTCACTGTTATCCATTACTTTCCTGGATTTAATACTGAATTACATATAATCATGCAAAAATACAAAAATACATGCAAAAATGCAAAAAAACAAAAAACGTAATGTTGTGCTGGATTAAGTAAATATTTTCCTTTATTACTCAATTGCTTATTAGAATAAGAAATTAAGGATTGGTGACTTGTTTCTTGTAACGACAAGATAGACATGACATTCTTATATGAAATTGTAATCTGCAACGCCTAGTTTGAGGCAAAAAAATGCTTTAATTTTGAAGCATCCAATTTGCTAGGAGTATGTCTAGATTAGAATAAAAAAAATAATGGTATCTTCCTGATAACCCTAATGTCCATTACTTTCTTGTTTAAATACCGAAGGAATGCTAAGTACGAGGAAGCATTAGAGTGATTTGACTCAGTTTTGGGAACAAAGCTATAGCCCGATGAAGCAGCAGTGGCAAGTTATAATGTTGCTTGTTGTTACTCTAAGCTAAACCAGGTAGGTATATATGTTTTTTCACTTTACAAATTGTATGTGCTACATTCCACTACTTTGTCATTGGTTTTGGATATTAACTTTTTGAGTGTCCAGTTATCCCTCTATATATGTAGATTAAATCCCTCAACCACATTTTTCAATGATTAGTGTTATGACATGTCAAAAGTAGTTGGGGAGTACCGAGTACAAAGCAAGCCATTTAACAAACCTTTACAACCACATCTTTTCAATTATTAGTTTTATAACATGTTCCATCTTAATATTATATATCCTATACAAATTTATATCCATTAAGTCCCACATTGGCTAGAACATCACACAAAAAAGTGTTCGTAAATGTTTGACATGCTTGTTAGTTTGCCGAGTTGAGTAGCGCTAGCTTGTGACCCATGTGGGGGCACCAAGGTGATGGAACATGGCTAAGGCTTAACATGTTGGTCTAGTGGTTGCACTATGCTGGCCTGCCCGCTCCAAGTTACGTGTTGAGTCCACATGACTTATGCGAAGGCACGGGTCTTGTGAGTCTTAGACAGAAGGGTATAGCGTGAGGAACACCTGGTGAGCCTAGGCCCCTGAACCATCTCTTTTTGATGGGTGGGACTCATACATTTTGGGTGCCATGCCCTTAAAAAGTTATGAATGCTTTAGCTTAAATCTCTGATTTACAAACACCATGGATCCTTGCAATTTGGCATAGTCCAAAAAGGAAAAGCAAACAATACTCGACCTTTATTAAAAATTTCAGATTAAGTCTCGTTACTACAAACTTGCTATTATATTAGAATACAAGTTGAAGATCACACTCTCATTTCCTTCCTCTTAATTTTAAATATTTTCACTTAGTGATTAAACATCAAGACATAACTCACATTTGACAGCAGAACTACTTTGTAAATTAGCTTTTTGGCTTATAATATTTTCTATACTCGTGCTCCTAATTGGTAGTTTGGTTGAAGTGAAAACCGTTTTTATGTTCATGTGTTTATCCAAACAAAATCATTTCTAACAATCTCTAGAGGCTGGTGATTTTTTTTTTTGCAACTTTTCTGTCTAAAATTTTGAAAATGACTTTGATACACTTTGAGGTTGTTTGGTCAAGTTATTTTTTTGTGTACATTTTGTATATATGAACTTCAAAATCCTATTTTGAAAAGTAAAACCGTGTACTTTTGTTTGATCCATAATGATTAAGTCAAAATGTTCAACATCAACAATGTACACCATATTTTGGGACTGAATCAAAATGCTTGAGATATGATAAAAATTCCCGATGCAAAACTGTCATAAGAAAAAAGAATTGAGGGAAAATGATTTGAGAGAAGGTATTATGCAAGTAAAACTACAAGATTCAAAAAATTGTTTTTTTCTTGAATTGTTATTTCACATATGCCATTATTGTACATTTTTATGAAATTTAGTTTGCAATTGAAAGATATAACCATGCATACCTACAAAAATCATAGTGCTGGATTTGGTTAATCATTTCTTCTATTACTTAATTGTTTATTAAAATAAGGATTAAAGGATTGGTGTCTTTGTCCTAGTAAAGACAATATAGGCATGGCAAAAACAAAACATTTTCCATAAGAAATTACAATCTGCAACACCTAGTTTGGGAGGAAAAATGCTTCAATTTTGAAGCATCAAATTCGCTAGGTGTATACATATTTATATTAAGACTAAAACTATTGATGGCAAGTTATAATCTGCTACACCTAGTTTGAGAGAAAAAGTTGATCTCACCGTCCATTACCTTCAGGAAGCATTAGAGTAATTTGAGTTTGTTTGGGGAACAAAATCAGAGCCTGATGAAGCAGCAGTGGCAAGTTATAATTTTGCTTGTTACTCTAAGCTAAACCACGTTCCATATGTCAAACAACTGGTCCAAAATTTGCACAGATATTGGCCAACCTATTGAGATTCCAACACTATTATTGTTTATTATTATAAAAAATATAAAAAACCATAAAAGTTATGATGTAAAAAGTATTTGAAAATTGGAATAAGAGGGGGCCGCGCGAACGCAGGCCCCCATTGCAACAAATTATGATGTAGGCTCCACCACTTGGGTAGACCTTAGGTTAGCACCCCTCTTAAGTGCAATGGAGGTCACTCTCCTAGGCCATGGTCCTTCATGATCAACCATTGACCCCATCCAGGTAAGTAACTTGCAATGATGGTATTCAAGTTATTTTATACTCTTGTTTCTCACAATACCTTTCACCTTCTTTCGATGTGTGACTCAACTACCTGTAGGCAAAGTATTTCCCAACTTGTGTAAGATTGATCGAAAAAGGGGTGCAAGTGGCTAGTGATTGTCAGTGGTCTAACTTGGAGTTGGAGACAGCAGAGCAGGTGCTGCTGCAGTGTAATAAGAGCATTTAGACTGCTACTAGGTAGGAACATTGGAGAGAAAATCTTTCACATATTAAATGCACTATCAAAGGAGAAAAGGAGTATCTTTGCTATGATATTATGGAGTTTGTGGAAGAGTAGGAATTAATCAACTACCAGTAAGCAATGTATTTCCTAGGCCTTTGATAGGTCTTGAGGACATCTTCCCCGACATTACATCTATTTCCCAATCGCTTTTTATATCCACTACTTTGTTATGTGTTGGATACTAATATAGTCTTCTTCTAATCATTCCTTTCAAGTTTGACATTGTCCTTCAAAGAGCTCAATCAAAATGAATAGAGTAACTTTCTTCTATTCATTCCTTTCAAGTTTGATATTATGCTTCCAAAAACTCAATCAGGAAGGTATGAGTTGAAAATACTCTAGAGTCCATGGTACTTACAGATCAATATACCCTATTGATTACTCGAAAACTCGAAGAAATTAAAGATTGGATCTGACTAGCAAGGAGGATATGTATCCTTGATGATCACCTAAATTAGGTAAGGATTAAAGATCAAGAAATACTGCCTAATTCCTTTATTAGTTATTACTTGAAATGCAGAAGGTAGGATTCAGCTTTTCTTTCTAATTTTTATTTGTTAGCTTGTATAACATTATAAGTAGTATTATAACATTCCTATTCCTTTATGTCTCCATTAGGAAGTGGTTCATTTTGACTGAGTATTATAACACAATATAGCAAACAGTTTTATCATTCCATTTCTGCTATTAATTCAGATCCATAAAAATTGAGTATCTTCCTCTCTTCAATTCCTTTTTCTTGTGTGAATTTGTTTGATATAGTTTCTCTCATTTTCTTTGTTCCAGTGAAATCTTGTGTCGACATACTGTTTCAGATCGAGTTTACGACTATCTCTTTGACATGATTTCTTGTTCAAGTTTTTTTTTCCAAATTATAGGGTTTTATAGTCAGATCCCCAATTTCTTGATTGGAAGCAAAATTATCAGTTGCAATCTCATATATTTTTGAGGGTATGTTTTAATTTGTAGTTCGAGATAATGCAACTATAGTTTTCTTAAGTAAAAAATTCCTAGTTGTGAGAACAAAACAAATAAATAAGAAAACATATATGCATAGAAACATGATGAAAAAATAAAAAATAATATAACATTTAAGAAAATATTGTGGATCTAGTAAGAAGGACATAGAATTTGAACTAGGTTTGGTGGGGTGTGCCAGGCTATTGCAATAGTGCAACACAAAAGCGACACTCAAGAGACCCAATAGCAAGCTATTTTGGTGGTCTCTCCCCCTCAAGAAATAAATTTAATATCGTGTGGACCATTGGCCCACATATCAGATATTAAACTAATAAGAACAGATACTACACTTGATCTTAGCCAAAAGGCCGAGAAAGGTATGAATTTAAAGTCATGCTTGTTGTCTTTTTTATATCAGATATGTTTTTTCTTCTTTGATAACTCAGCGATGTGGGACTTTAATACTATACCTTGGAGTTTGCTCAATACTTTTGTAATTTTCTCTTATGTAACAGTAATTAAACCAAGAGGAAGACTGTCTGGTTCATATACATTTTCTGTTTGAAGTGATTTTGTTCATGCAAAGAAGTGGATCTCATTTTCTGCAACAACAGAATTAAATAGGTAACAATTCTTGTCGTCTTTTTTGGTTTAATTAATAATTTTGAAATATAACATTTGTTAGAGCAAGACTGAATCTAGAGTTTCCTGAAATGCCTCAAAACTAAAGCAGTAAAATCCCGGCAAAAGTTGAACTATTTCCCTAATTAAGTTCAATTTAACAAAAACCAAGTCCTAAGTCCTTAAATAAGCGGCGACTGAAAATTATTAGGCTTTTTTCTCAAATCAATGCACATGGTTTAGTGAAGATAGTTTTGACATTTGTGCATATGATTATGTATAACGTTGTATATATACTCATACACCAGAAGTCATTCTTTTTACTAATGAATGAACATTTATCACAATCTCTGTTTTTTGTATACCTTCGTCATTTTATGAGAACAATTGTCAAATACACACATATTGAATTAAACTCTATAATGGAGTTTGGGAATGAATATTGTACTTGAGCTAAGATCCTAATTTATTCTATGTATGTCTGAAAACTAAATCACAATATTATGCTATCATATCATCACATAAAATATTATACTGACAAAACTTGAACATTTGAAGTACAATCAGTTTGGCATGCTTGTTACTAATCCTCTTACCATTATTTCCTTCATTTTTATCTTGCCCTTGGCATTTCATAATAGAAGTATATTCTTTAATAAACATGGCAGAAACAACATGTTTTTTTATGAAATGTTAATCTGCGTTTTGTATCTTGGAATGTTATTTTCCTATACTTTCAGTCAACTCCTACTTGATTGAACCCTTGCATGCCTACTATGGCTGCAATATCGGCTGCAATATTTTTGGATTAGTGTTATAACATGTTAAAACTAATTTGGGAGTGCTCAGGACAAAGTAATCCATTTAAGAAACCATGTGCCAACTTAATACTACGCAAATTTATATCCATTAAATTCCGCATTGGCTAGAATATCACACATGGTTACCGAGTTGAGTAGCGCTAGCTTGTGAATTGAAGGTCTAGGGTTTGTTTGGATTGTGTTATTTAAGCGTTTCTATTTGGATAAGACTGTTTAGAAGGGTTTATGGAAGCAACATATCACATGTCTATAAGTTGTTTAATGCTTGTTTTGACATGCTCTCCATGATATCTTATAAACTACTTTATTAATAATGGTGATTTACAAATTTATTAAGAGCTGCGAGGGTATTATGTGAGGCTGGTTTCACGGAGCAGCGGACACCTCCTACTCCTGAGAGTGGAGGGAACACAGGCTGTTGCACCTCCAGTCCACAATATTGAAATAAGGAGTATAGGATTGGTGACTTTTTTCTTGTAAAGATATGATAGAGATGTAAGACACAACATTTGCCATATGAAATTGTAATGTAGATTAGGACCAAAGAATTAATGGCATCTTCTCAAGGTTCATTACTTTCCTGGATTAAATGCTGATGGAATGCCAAGTACGAGGAAACATTAGAGAAATTTGATTCTGTTTTGGGAACAAAGCCAGAAGTTGAAGAAGCAGCATTCACATACTAAGTCCTGAATCACTATTGCCTCGAGTTTTCCCTGAGGGGAATTTCTACATGATTAGTGAAATGAGTACTTTTTTTTGGGTTTAATTGGGTCTTTCATGTCTAGCCCTAGAACTCTTTAAAAATGTATGAATGTTTTTGCTTAAATTTCTATGATTTACAAACACCATGACCTATACCCCTTTTGGATCCTTTCTCATATGTTCTTTAATTTATTATATATCAGTCAATCAAAATATTAGAGTAAGTTCTGTTTTTATATATCAAGACAGTTTGGCCGAGTGGTCTAAGGCGCCAGATTTAGGCTCTGGTCCAAAAGGGCGTGGGTTCAAATACCACAGCTGTCATCATTTTTGTTTTTTAAAATTTTAAAACAACACAAAATCATTTATCTATACTGTGTCTAAGTAACTATGTTGGGGCGGGGCAAGCAAAGACGCAGGCACAAAAGCATACAGTTTAGCAGTATGCTTCTGTCACATTTATTTTTGTAGTAGTGTTTCATTTTTTACCAATTGTGGGCAAAATGATAATTTATGAATATACTTCATATATTCATTGAATGATAATTTATGGGATTAGAATGCCCATGTTGGCTTTTTATACAAGATCTTTGATGTATTTATATTGTGCAGTGTGAATAAGGTTGGTTATGAAAAACTTGAATCTGTCCACTCAAGTGAAGATTTTGGGAGTTTTATTGAACTTGCAGACATCTGAGTGAAGTTGGCTTCAAGGGTATGATAGTTCCCCAATTTCTTGCTATTGCGATAGTGCAGCGTAAAAGCAACACATAAGAGACTCAATTGCAAATTATTGTAGTTGACTCTCCCCCTCAAGAAAATAAGAACAGATACTACACTTGATCTTAGTCAAAAGGCCGAGAAAGGTATGAGTTGAAATTCATGCTTGTTGTGTCTTTTATATCTGACATATTTTATGCTTCTTTGCTAACTCGGCAATATGAGACTTTAATAGTTTAATACAGTAATTTGGAGTCTACTAGTGTTTGTGTTAGTTCAACACTTCTGTATTAAATGAATCAAGAGGGATATTGTCTGGTTCGCATATATTTTATGTTCAAAGTGATTTATTCATATAGAGAAGTGGTTCTCATTTTCCCCCAACAACAAAATTAAACAGGTAACAACTCTTGTCTCTTTTTGTTAACTGATAATTTTGAAATATTTGTTAGAACTGAATCTAGAGTTTCCTGAAATGCTAAAAACTTACGCAGAAAAATCCTTTGTCAAGTTATGGTTTCCTGAAATATAACATTTGTTAGAACAAGACAAAATATAGAAAAAGAAATTTGACAATGTTATGGTTTTCAAGTGGAGAGATTCTATGAAACAACTTAGTGGACTTGTTGGCTTTGTTTTCAATAACATGTTTTTCAATTTCGTAATCATCTATTTTTGCAATAATAGTTAAAGTATGAATGTGGAAAAAGTATTTCATATATTTCAAACTTGTGATTTACAATAGAAGAATAAACTAGCATGAAATAAATTATAGTTACTCACACAAAATCAAATTTCCCGAGTCACCACATGTCACTTGAACTATAGCTACTCACTCGAAATCAGATTTCCCGAGTCACCACATGTCA